TCCACTACCAATCCCTCTCCAATCCACTCGTAATGCCTCTTCAATCCCCCTCCAATCCACTCCTAGTCCGTCCCAATCAATTCAGACTCGGCCATAAGAATTTTACGCCCGTGAAGGATGACCTCGTGGTGTGATGCCGCCCTCATAATGTTTAATGCCGGATATTGCAAATTTAACGTGTGTGTGTGTGTGTGTGTGTGTGTGTGTGTGTGTGTGTGTGGCTGGCTTTCTGAGCGTGGTTTTCTTGCCCTTGGTGAAGCAGTGACGGTGCTGTGTCTTGGTGCTGTGCTGTGCTGTGGTGCTGTGTTATGGTGCTGTGCTATGCTATGGTGTTGTGCTGTGCTGTGGTGTTGTGCTATGCTATGGTGCTGTACTGTGCTGTGGTGCTGTGCTGTGCTGTGGTGTTGTGCTATGCTATGGTGCTGTACTGTGCTGTGGTGCTGTGCTGTGCTGTGGTGTTGTGCTATGATGCTCTGCTACTAGAGTGCAGGGGTGGGGGGCATATCTAACAAAAAGACCTCAAGAGTTCAATATTCAGCGTTTTGTTGTGTCGTCAAAACCAGAGTTATGGGTCCGTGGGCTTTACTGTGGCTGAGGGGGTGGAAGGAAGAGGAGGACAGAGGAGAGGAAGGAGGGCAGAAGAAGAGGGAGTGAAGGAGGAAGGAGGGCAGAAGAAGAGGAAGTGGAGTTGTAAGGGAGAGGAAAACAGAAAAGGAAGCGGAAGATGGGAGATAGAGGAGGGTAGAAAGAGGAGGGAGGAAGAGGACAGAAGAACAGGGAGTGGAAGACGAAAGGAATAAAAAAAGGAGGGGGAGGAGGGCAAGAGAACTCAACACACACACATACAAGTTACTGTCCAAAACGATGGACTTAAACACGCACAAACTTTATATGAAACACACACCAAAATAACCCCGTATTGTCCTTCGGTTATTTACGTCTTACACTCAGTCCGGGGCAAGTTGGTATACATACACACATACATACATATATACATACATACGAGTAAATATAGAGGTGTGTATTCATTTGATGTCTGTACGCTTTTCCGCACATCAAAGGGTCCACTTCAAGCGAGCAGCAATCATTTCGTTGGCGTCTCCCGGAAAATCTCAAGCCGCCAGGAAAATATTCACCCGACACCAGACACACCTCCACCCCCGCCCACCACCACTACCACTAGTGACGTCTCCTGCCATATGTGAATCTGTTTCATCGGGTCTCATACATGGTGGTGGTAGTGGTGTTAATAGTGGTAGTGGTGGTGGTGTTAATAGTGGTAGTGGTGGTGGTGGTGGTGGTAGTTAGTTATGAATGATGAACGTTTATACATGAAGAATGTGTTGATGTTCTCTCTCTCATACGCAGACACACACACACACACACACACACACACACACACACACACACACACACATCTGTTCCCTCTCCTTCTCCTTAATCTCACCTGTCTCCTTAACTTCGTCTAAATATTTAAAGATCCCGGTCACACCTGTATAACTAATGAGTTCATATATGTACTCAGGTAAGGAGAGTTTATATACAGTCGACTCACTCCTCCACCTAACATCCCAAAAGTTCTGAGAATAAATCCACAAAATCTCTTGGAATAAATCCCAAAAGTTTTTATACTAAATCCCAAAAGTTCTTAGAATAATTTCCGAAAGTTCTTAGAATAAATGCCAAAAGCTCTTAGAATAAATCCCAAAAGCTCTTAGAATAAATCTCAAAAGTTTTTCTAATAAATCCCAAAAGGTCTTAGAATAAATCCCCAAAGTCCTTAGAATAAATCCCAAAATCTCTTAGAATAAATCTCAAAAGCTCTTAGAATAAATCCCCACACGCTTTTATAATAAATCCCAAAATTTCTTAGAATAAGCCCAAAAGTTTTTCTAATAAATCCCAAAAGCTCTTAGAATAAATCTCAAAAGCTCTTAAAATAAGTCTCAAAAGTTTTTCTAATTTCTAAATATTTAAAGATCCCGGTCACACCTGTATAACTAATGAGTTCATATATGTACTCAGGTAACCAGAGTTTATATACAGTCGACTCACTCCTCCACCTAACATCCCAAAAGTTCTGAGAATAAATCCACAAAGGCTCTTAGAATAAATCCCAAAAGTTTTTATAATAAATCCCAAAATCTCTTGGAATAAATCCCAAAAGTTTTTCTAATAAATCCCAAAAGCTCTTAGAATAAATCCCCACAAGCTTTTATAATAAATCCCAAAATTTCTTAGAAAAAGCCCAAAAGTTTTTCTAATAAATCCCAAAAGCTCTTAGAATAAATCTCAAAAGCTCTTAAAATAAATCCCAAAAGTTTTTCTAATAAATCCCAAAAGCTCTTAGAATAAATCCCCAAAAGCTGATACGATACACCTCTTCGCTCCTTGGTCTACCTGTCTCTACGCTTCCCACCACACAGAAGTCCCTCAACACCAACCACCTGATCTCAGAGGCCCTACACAAGTCAGTCTCTCTCTCTCTCTCTCTCTCGACTACTGCCACAGCCTCCTCCTCCTCCTACAGCCGCGAGCACCTGGAGGAAAGTCTTGTCCGTATTTGCATTAATCTCGGCAACACGTCTCCTCGCCACACTTCACCGAGCTGGTCCCTGCCAAATTTTCGGCCAACAAACGTTCACACACACACACACACACTACACACACACACTACGCACGCACACCCCAACACACCCTCACCCCAACTCACCCTCACCCTTACCCTAAACAAATAATAAAAATAACAATCACATTTTTTCATTTGTCATCTTTATTAGCGATCAGAAATTGACAATAATTGGATGGGAGGGGAGGAGATGGAGGGGGAGGGAAGGGGGGGAGGGGAAGGAAAGGGAGGGAGGAGGGGAGTGGGAGAGAGGGAGAGAGAGAATGAGGGAGAAAGGAAGTGAGAAAGGAAGAATTAAAGCATGGAACAGAGACAAGAAAAGTGAATAAAAGAGAAATAAAAAGAAAAACAAACAAACAGACAGACAGAAAGACCGAAGAAAGTGAGTAAATGAGAAACAGATAATATAAGGAGATAAAAATACCGTCTCCATAAATATCAACGAAAAAAATTGTATTTAGAAACTGGTAATACGACTGAAATATGTCGTTCCCTTCCTGTCTCCTTCCTTTCCATCTTTCCCTCCCTCCTATCTTACGTTCTTTCCCTCCCTCCCTCCCTCCTTACCTTCTTTTCCCTCCTTCCCTCCCTCCCTCTACCTCACTACCTCCCCACGCACACACTTCCTCCCCTTCCTCTACCTCTATCCTGCTCTCCTCCCTTTCCTCCCCGCAGCAGACCAAGAAGCAGTTCAGGGCCACAAGGCGACTATCTCACAGTGTTTATGTGACGCCGGCCGACAGTAATCTCTCTCTTATCTTTTCACCCCCTTTATCATCTTCTTGTCTTATTTCTCATTCGTCCTCTTTTTCCTTCTGTTTCTTTTATCTTCATCTTCAATTTGATCTCTCTCTCTGTGACCGGAAGTGAACTCTGGGTGAATTTGTAAAGACATAAGTAGATTAATTCAGCCCCAAGGCCTCTAAATGCTGTTCCATTCCTTGGCTATAAAACGCCTGAACGAACAGCTGCGATCAATATTTCCTGGACAGTTTTGGGTAATATCTGGTCTCTCTCTTTTTGGGTCATGCCATTAGTTAATAACGAGTGAACGTTGGTTTTCATGAGATGGGGAACGTGATATTTTTTTTTTTTTTGTGTATTATAGTTGGTGAAGGTTACTTTTCCATGTAGCTGACATTAACTTGTCATAGTATAATCTAACACTGACCTAACCTAACCTAACAATAACCTAACCTATCACTAATTTACTATTAACTTAATAGTAACCAAACGTAACCTAACAATAACACAAACCTAACCTAACCTAGTCTAATACTAACCTACCACTAATCTACTACTAACTTGATACTAACCCAACCTAACCTAACACTAACACTACCCTAACGTAACACTAATTTACCATACCATAATTTAACACTAACATAAGCCAGCCCAGGTGAAATAAGCCGTGGGTGCCTGCTCTCAGCGTGACCTGTTTATTCACACAGCCTTACACGAGAGCTTCAGATTCAGTGACTTTTGAGGAAGTTTCTAAGAATCTATTGTTGGGAGTTTGGGTGAAACGGATTTGGACGACTTGTTTATTTCGATTTGTGTATGTGGGGGGTGGGGGGTGCAGGGTGGGGGTGCAGGAGTGGGTGGGGTGGGGGGGGGGTGGGATGCAGGTGGGGGGTGCAGGGTGGGCGGTGGGGTGGTGGGTGGGTGGGTGGGTGGTAATAGGTGGTGTGTGTGTGTGTGTGTGTGGGTGTGTGTTAAGTTGTCATACGAACAACAATAGCGACTGTGTGTACATAACGGCCGGGTGAGTGATGAAGTCGTTTTCACTTGACGCTGCACAATATGAGCCAACTTAATGACTTAACCTAACTTAATGTAACTTAACTCAAGCTTACCTAACCGATCTCAACCTAACCTAATTTAACTTGATGTAACTTGGCCCAACTTTACCTAAACCAAATAAAATTAACCAAGTCTGATCGAACTTCACTTACTGTAACTTAACATAGCTAAACGAAGTTAAAATACAGACCAACAATATTTCACTGTTAACAACCTACTTAACGACTAACTACGGTGATAATAATAACTGGCCATCGACGGTGTTATGCCTCACTTAATAAAATAAAGAATTTTCTCTCAGGTGTAAGAACCATTATCTGACTGATAATGGTTCTTACACCTGAGGGAAAGACCGAGCGTTGGGGCTCACCACACGGCAACGAAAAAAAAAATCATCATGGCGTCTGTGTAAATACTATGGGTCATGGATAAATAAAAGTTAATAAAAATCAATATAAATCGTTCAAGTGACGTAGATGGAGATAAAATAATCTTTCATATTTGTTGGTTGTTGATGATCCATTACAACTATACAGTAGAGACTCGCGGTGCTCAAGGCTGCGGTTCACTCACTTCACAACGAGTAATTTACTCATAGGTTAAGACATCCCTGCGACTCCTCGTTAAGGGCGGTGAGAGGCGGCGACTGTAACAATATTTGTGTGGGTGTTTCAGCATGGGTCGCCAGGTGCCGACGGTAACAATGAGCGAGGATGGTGGCCAAGGTGCTGGGGCCCAGGTGGTGGTGTGTGAGGACAAGGCCACCAGTACTGACGACGAGCTCCTGGGGTCACCCACGCCGGGAGACGATGGCTTCGGCCCCGACAATTGCTTCCGTTACATGGCGCAGGCTGCCCAGCTGTGGGGCGCCGACTTGGTGGGTATGGACCGTCCTCCAGAGCGCCCCCACAGTGCCCGCGGGGGACGCTACCTCCGCCATCAGGAGTCTCTCAGCAGCAACAGTGACGTGTCAAGACCTCACCGGCAGGTTAAGCTGCGGAGGCAACGGACAACAGAGTCTTGTGACACAGACAGTTACAAGCGACCTAAGACGCGGGAGTTGAGGCGCCAGTGGACCACCGACTCCTCTGACTCCGGCTACTCCAAGCGCTACTCTCGGGAGTTCCTGCGGCGGCAAGACACCGAGGAGTCAGCAGACTCAACGAGGCGACTTATTCGGGACCTACAACGACAAGCAACTACCGAGTCGTCGTCGTCGTTGAGACTGACTCGTCAGTCATCCATACGCAGCGCCTCCGACAACCAGAGCCTCTGTCTTCTGCGTCAATCGACCGTTGAGACTTACGACGACATCTCCACGACAGACTTCTCTCGGCCGCAGTCTTGTAACAGCAGCCGCAACCCCAGCACGGGGTGCACCATCATGGACTTCTCGCCGCAAATCTTCCCCCCCGACGCCGCCGGCCAGACCGTCCTGTCCGAGTATGCCGCCCCCGGCGACACTTACCGCTACAACCCGCAAGACCTGGTCAATGGCTACGACTACAGTGTCAACGCTATTCCTGCCACTGTGGGAGCACCGCTGCTCTCCACCACCTCCTGTTCCCTCATCAACCTCAGCGCCGTGGACCTGGAGGCCGCGGAGATCAAAGAACTCCACAGAAATCTCCGCGCCCTGGGCTCCGACGCCCACGGCAAGACCAAGAGGAAGAAATCTCGTCGAAGTGGAGAGAGTGAGGCGCTGAAGAAGGCGAAGGAGCGAGTGAGGAAGCAGAAGGAGGAAGAGGAGATGCCTCGCAGGGTGCGGTGGTCCATCATGGCCACGGGGCTCATACTGCTGCTCATGTCCGTCATCCTGGTGGGGGCCACGCTCAAAATGGCTCCCCTCATCGACGAAATGGGTGAGTCCTCTTCACAAACATTCCGCCCGACCCCTGTGTGCCCGCCTGCCTGCCCTCCCTCCCCACCTGTGACGTGTTCTACTGTACAGACGTCCTCCCTGTGTTGTTAGACCGTCTGAGTACAGTACTGACTACCACAACACCATGTCCCCTTGTCCTAACCCTCCCACTAACTACCACGCACCAACGTCGCACCATGCCCCCTTGTCCTAACCCTCCCACTAACTACCACGCACCAACATCGCACCATGTTCCCTTGTCCTAACTCACTATTAACTAACCACGCACCATGTCCCCTTGTCCTAACCCCATACTAACCACAAACCATATCCCCTTGTCCATGAGTTATTTATACACACTCGTTCACATTTCGGACACGTGTGACATGTCCTGGGAGGTAAGTAAGATGTCAATATTTAAGAAATGTGTGTGGACCATCTCCGCCCCGGGTTAAGGTAAAGTGTAAGGCTGTAACTCAGTGAACGGCGGCGGCAACGAGACAGTGAGGCGGTGATTGTGAGAGACGAGAGGAGAGACTTGAAAGAAGAGAGGAGAGACTTGAAAGACGAGAGGGAGAGACTTGAGAGACGAGAGGAGAGACTTGAGAGACGAGAGGAGAGACTTGAGAGACGAGAGGAGAGACTTGAGAGACGGGAAGAGACTTGAGAGACGGGAAGAGAGAGACTTGATAGACGAGAGGAGAGAGACTTGAGAGACGAGAGGAGAGACTTGATAGACAGAGGAGAGACTTGAGAGACGAGAGGAGAGACTTGAGAGACAGGAAGAACAGAGAGATCTTATACTGCCAGACTATACGTGGTAAGATACGCATGTGTACTCTTGATACTAACCACACACACACACACACACACACACACACACACACACACACACACACACACACACACACACACACACACCTCAGTGCAGTATAAACAAACTAGTGGGACAGAAACAGAGCAAAAGCAAGGTGTTGATTCTAATAGTCTGAGGGAGGGAGATGGGGGAGGAAGGGAGGGGAGGGAGGGAGGGAAGGAGGGGAGGGAGAGATGGCAACTGGGAGAGGAAAATTATGGGACAGGGGAGTTTTCATAATGGACGGATGTAGAGGAAGTGTTAGAAAAAATGGATGGATGGAAGGGGTGGAACGGAGAGAGAGAAGAGAGAGAGAGAGAGAGAGAGAGAGAAGAGAGAGAGAGACAGAAAGAGAGAATTTCAGTGTGAAACAGAGAAATAAACAGAAAAGCTGAAAAAGAGACAGTGTGGGATGATGCTAGGAGGTGCTGGGAGCGTGGACTGCTAGGAGGTGCTGGGGCGTGGACTGCTAGGAGGTGCTGGGAGAGTGGACTGCTAGGAGGTGCTGGGAGTGAACTGTTAGGAGGTACTGGGAGAGTGGACTGCTAGGAGGTGCTGGGAGAGGTGGACTGCTAGGAGGTGCTGGGAGTGGACTGCTAGGAGGTACTGGGAGGTGGACTGCTAGGAGGGTGCTGGGGAGGACTGCTAGGAGGTGCTGGGGGAGTGGACTGCTAGGAGGTACTGGGGGCGTGTACTGCTAGGAGGTGCTGGGAGCGTGGACTGCTAGGAGGTACTGGGGCGTGGACTGCTAGGAGGTACTGGGAGGTGGACTGCTAGGAGGTACTGGGAGAGTGAACTGTTAGGAGGTACTGGGAGAGTGGACTGCTAGGAGGTGCTGGGAGAGTGGACTGCTAGGAGGTACTGGGAGAGTGGACTGCTAGGAGGTACTGGGAGGAGTGGACTGCTAGGAGGTGCTGGGGAGTGGACTGCTAGGAGGTGCTGGGAGAGTGGACTGCTAGGAGGTACTGGGAGCGTGTGACTGCTAGGAGGTGCTGGGAGCGTGGACTGCTGGGGAGGTACTGGGGAGCGTGGACTGCTAGGAGGTACTGGGAGAGTGGACTGCTAGGAGGTACTGGGGAGCGTGTACTGCTAGGAGGTACTGGGAGGTGGACTGCTAGGAGGTGCTGGGAGCGTGGACTGCTAGGAGGTGCTGGGAGCGTGGACTGCTAGGAGGTACTGGGAGGTGGACTGCTAGGAGGTACTGGGAGAGTGGACTGCTAGGAGGTGCTGGGAGTGGACTGCTAGGAGGTACTGGGAGGAGTGGACTGCTAGGAGGTACTGGGAGAGTGGACTGCTAGGAGGTCTGGGAGAGTGGACTGCTAGGAGGTACTGGGAGAGTGGACTGCTAGGAGGTACTGGGAGGGTGGACTGCTAGGAGGTGCTGGGAGAGTGGACTGCTAGGAGGTGCTGGGAGAGTGGACTGCTAGGAGGTACTGGGAGAGTGGACTGCTAGGAGGTACTAGGAGAGGTGGACTGCTAGGAGGTGCTGGGAGAGTGGACTGGTAGGAGGTGCTGGGAGAGTGGACTGCTAGGAGGTACTGGGAGAGTGGACTGCTAGGAGGTGCTGGGGAGAGTGGACTGCTAGGAGGTGCTGGGAGAGTGGACTGCTAGGAGGTACTGGAGTGGACTGCTAGGAGGTGCTGGGAGGTGGACTGCTAGGAGGTGCTGGGAGCGTGGCTGCTAGGAGGTACTGGGAGAGGGGACTGCTAGGAGGTGCTGGGAGAGTGGACTGCTAGGAGGTGCTGGGAGACTGGACTGCTAGGAGGTACTGGGAGAGTGGACTGCTAGGAGGAGTGCTGGGGAGGGACTGCTAGGAGGTGCTGGGAGAGTGGACTGCTAGGAGGTGCTGGGAGAGTGGACTGCTAGAGGTGCTGGGGCGTGGACTGCTAGGAGATGCTGGGAGGAGTGGACTGCTAGGAGGGTACTGGGAGAGTGGACTGCTAGGAGGTACTGGGAGAGTGGACTGCTAGGAGGAGCTGGGGCTTGGACTGCTAGGAGGTACTGGGAGCGTGGACTGCTAGGAGGTGCTGGGAGGAGTGGACTGCTAGGGCTGGGAGAGGAGTGGACTGCTAGGAGGTGCTGGGAGCTTAGACTAGGAGGTGCTGGGAGGAGTGGACTGCTAGGAGGTACTGGGAGGTGGACTGCTAGGAGGAGCTGGGAGCTTGGACTGCTAGGAGGTACTGGGAGGAACTGCTAGGAGGGTACTGGGAGAGTGGACTGCTAGGAGATGCTGGGAGAGGGACTGCTAGGAGGTACTGGAGGTGGACTGCTGGGGAGGAGTGGACTGCTAGGAGGAGCTGGGGCTTGGACTGCTAGGAGGTACTGGGAGAGTGAACTGCTAGGAGGTACTGGAGAGTGGACTGCTAGTAGGTACTGGGAGAGTAAACTGGTAGGAGGTACTGGGGCGTGGACTGCTAGGAGGTACTGGGAGAGTGGACTGCTAGGAGGTGCTGGGAGGTGGACTGCTAGTAGGTACTGGGAGAGTAAACTGGTAGGAGGTACTGGGGCGTGGACTGCTAGGAGGTACTGGGAGGTGGACTGCTAGGAGGGTGCTGGGAGAGTGGACTGCTAGGTGGTGCTGGGAGAGTGGACTGCTAGGAGGTACTGGGAGAGTGGACTGCTAGGAGGTACTGGGAGAGTGGACTGCTAGTAGGTACTGGGAGGAATAAACTGGTAGGAGGTACTGGGAGCGTGGACTGCTAGAGGTACTGGGAGAGTGGACTGCTAGGAGGTGCTGGGAGAGGTGGACTGCTAGGTGGTGCTGGGAGAGTGGACTGCTAGGAGGTACTGGGAGAGTGGACTGCTAGGAGGTGCTGGGAGAGTGGACTCGTAGGAGGTGCTGGGAGGTGGACTCGTAGGAGGTACTGGGAGGTGGACTGCTAGGAGGTACTGGGAGAGTGGACTGCTAGGAGGTGCTGGGAGAGTGGACTGCTAGGTGGTACTGGGGAGGTGGACTGCTAGGAGGTACTGGGAGGTGGACTGCTAGAGGACTGGGAGAGTGGACTGCTAGGAGGTGCTGGGAGAGTAAACTGGTAGGAGGTACTGGGAGAGTGAACTGCTAGGAGGTACTGGGAGTGAACTGCTAGGAGGGTGCTGGGAGAGTGGACTGCTAGGAGGTACTGGGAGAGTGGACTGCTAGGAGGTGATGGGAGAGTAAACTGGTAGGAGGTACTGGGAGAGTGAACTGCTAGGAGGTGCTGGGAGAGTGGACTGCAAGAGGTGCTGGGAGAGTGGACTGCTAGGAGGTACTGGGAGAGTGAACTGCTAGGAGGTGCTGGGACAGTGGACTGCTAGGAGGTACTGGGAGAGTGGACTGCTAGGAGGTGCTGGGAGAGTGGACTGCTAGGAGGTACTGGGAGAGTGAACTGCTAGGAGGTACTGGGAGGACTGCTAGGGAGGTGATGGGAGAGTGGACTGCTAGGAGGTGCTGGGAGAGTGGACTGCTAGGAGGTATTGGAGAGTGGACTGCTAGGAGGTGCTGGAAGTGGACTGCTAGGAGGTACTGGGAGAGTGGACTGCTAGGAGGTACTGGAGGTGGACTGCTAGGAGGTGCTGGGAGAGTGGACTGCTAGGAGGTGCTGGGAGAGTGGACTGCTAGGAGGTACTGGGAGAGGGGACTGCTAGGGTGCTGGGAGGGTGGATTAGGAGGTACTGAGAGTGGACAGGTGGGAGAGTGAACTGCTAGGAGGTGCTGGGAGGTGGACTGCTAGGAGGTGCTGGGAGGTGGACTCTAGGAGGTGCTGGAGAGTGAACTGCTAGGAGGTGCTGGGAGGAGTGGACTGCTAGGAGGTGCTGGGAGAGTGGACTGCTAGGAGGTGCTGGGAGAGTGGACTGCTAGGAGGTACTGGGAGAGTGGACTGCTAGGAGGTGCTGGGAGAGTGAACTGCTAGGAGGTGCTGGGAGAGTGAACTGCTAGGGGTACTGGGAGGAGTGGACTGCTAGGAGGTGCTGGGAGGTGGACTGCTAGGAGGTGGGGGGAGCGTGGGATGATGCTAGGAGGTTCTGGGAGCGTGGACTGCTAGGAAGTGCTGGGAGCGTAAACTGCTAGGAGCTGCTGGGAGCGCGGACTGCTAGGAGGTGGGGGCGTGGGATGATGCTAGGAGGTTCTGGGGCGTGGACTGCTAGGAAGTGCTGGGAGCGTAAACTGCTAGGAGCTGCTGGGAGCGCGGACTGCTTGGAGCTACTGGGGCGTGAATTGCTAGAATTGTTGGGAGCGTGGGATGCTAGAGCTGCTGGGGAAGTGAATTCTAGGAGT